TTTCGACGGCCGATCAAAGAAAGCTCGAAAGTCTGGACGTGTTTTGGTAGGCCCACCCGACTGCGAGATATTAGCTCTGATTTGTAAATTTCGACCATTTAAAGTTAAGTAATCTCAAATTTTAAATCGTACACCGTATGTATTATCATTTTTTTTCTGATAAATTTACAAATTTTATGTCACTGATATTTTTTACCCTACCGAAATTCAACATTTCTTTAAACAAATTGAATTATTACATCTATTAATTTTAGATATATAATATCAAAAAATGGCAGAAAAGTTACCGGTGTACGTATGTATAACTTAATTATAAAATAAAAAATAGAATTATTCCCATTAGAAAATATGTTATATCCGCAACACTTTTTGAATTACCCTGTATACTCTATAGTAATGTTAAAATGTGTTTCTTAACCTTACCAATAACTTTTTATTTAAAATTTTGTTCCAAAAATGTTAAAAACATTATTATGTAAAAAACGTCGTGTAAGGGATAAAGGGAAAACAGCCAAAAAGGGGAAAACCGACGATGAATACCATGTTAAAGGCCGAATATCATATTAAAGATACAAAATGTATTACTGTATGCGTTATTATTTGCCCATCGTTTGTTATATTCAATTGCAATTTAATATATGTGTTTGGCTTCCTTTCACTATGATCCCACTCGGCTTGTCTCGTGGCGTAAAAAATGGATAGAAAATGTCTCGCTCTCGTCTCGCTCTTGTCTTGCTCTCGTCGCTCAGCAGACTCTCGGAGTGGTGACGTCACGAATGTCAAATTGCTTTCCAAACAAGCTTTAGTTCTTTATATTTCTATTGAGCTCTTCCAAATGACATCACAAATTAATATAAAATGTAAAAAAAACAGGTGATTGCCGACAACCGCCGACTTGTATCTGGTATTTTCAATACGCCTATGATGGTTGCGCATGTTGCAAAATCTGTGAATTTTTTCTCTTATAAACATGCTATTTCATAGAAGGATTTTTCTAACTTTAAGAATCCTATAATCTCCCAATGTAATATCAGCAAAACGAATCACAATTTCCTTTTGACCTTTTCTGTCCAAAGAACACACACCAAATGTAGCGACAAAAACCGTTTAGTTTCTTAACGAAGCGCGGTATTGAAATTCCGGCAAAATGTAACTCCTCCCTCTTCGTCTTTATCTCTTCCTCCTTGTCTCCCAAAGCCCTTGCATCGTGCAGACGATATTGCAGAATGCAAAATATTTTGGCAAATTCTGGGTTAGGGCCGGCTGCCGGATGTCTCGCCCGGAATTGGATATAGAAAGCTTTAAATACAGATCTAATTCCGAAGTAGTCGTCCGATCTATGCAGTAGCGTATCGGGGGAATTGTAGTTTACGTAATCCGGATTTAAAGGACACAACAGAAATTTATCTTGATCAAATTGTATAAAGGAACTCCTAGATAATGTTTTTTATTTTATTATTGTGTATAATTTCCTATAATGGATGGTCCGAACTGTTCTGGAATCTTCGGCAACATATTCTGCCAGATAGAAATAAATTAAAAAAAGTTTCGTTAATGTCTTAAAAAAATAATTTCTGAAGTAACGTCAATATTTTGATGAAAATTGGTGTTTTGATATGAGAAATCGTACAAGCAACATTCTCAAGATATTTAAAATGGAAATACCTAGGTCAATACATGTAATTATTGACAAAAAATAAACATGTTGAGTTGGTAGTTATTTCACTGAAATTATAGGGTGAGAACTTCTTATTTCTTCGAAAAAATGATAAAGAGTTTCTGTTAAACTTTTGGCACAAAACATTTCAAATTATTTATTATTTTATTCTAATAACTAATTAGTCAACATGTTTAATTTATGTGAATGATTACAGGTGATAATTTGATTCCAAATATCTCGAGAACCATTATTCGTAGCTGTTTTTACCATGAGACCTTTTTACGTAGAAAACGTCGTAAATGTATACTTATTCTCATTGGTTTTATACAGGTACGGACGAAAGTTATTACTTTTCAAACCAGTTACAAAATAAGTAGGTGGCGCCCTCTACAAGTAGGAGTCATATTGACATCAAAATAAAATTTCTCATGTCAAAAACTCCCAGACACCAATTTTCATCCAAATATTGACGTTGCTTCATAAATTATTTGGGAAAAAATCTCGGAGCTATAAATATAATATACACCACCCATATAATGCTTCACTCCTTGAAACAGGATACGGGTTGAGCTGCATTCAAGCGTGATGCAGGTGCTCTCCAGACCAAAGTTCGTCGCGAGTCTGACACTAGGCCTATGCCTGTTTCATCACTAAACATGACGAAAGGTCCATTCCAATTAGGTCAATTTGCTCTCATCTCCTCAGCCCATTGTAGTCGCGTAATTTTGTGCTGTAAATTAAGCTTCGGAACACGTAGAGGCCTCCTTAAATGTAATCCTCTGTCATGGAGTCTTCTTGCTATGGTCTTTCTTGAAACATTTACTGCTTCAAGGCGAGCTAACTGATTTTTAATAGCAGTACTAGAAAGCAGAGTATTGCGTCGTGCAATTGAGGGATATTCGACGGTCTTGCACAGCAGTAGTAACTCTTTTTCTACCTCTTCCAGGCCGGTCTGTGCCTCGTTTGTCTCCCTGATTTTTATTATGTTTAATAATTTAACTCCTACAATTTCAGCTATTGCAACTTGCCGGTAGCCCTGTTGAGACAGTGTTACTATTCTGCTTCTATTAAACTGTGGAAAATAATGTTTCTAGGCATTTAAAGCCAAAACAATGGTCAAATTTCTTCTGAAACCCAAGAGACCACAAATCGAAATGTGGAAGGATTTGTAATAATATTGAGTCTGAACGATAAACATTATTTACCATATCCATTTTAACAAAAAACATGTTTTATTACAGATTATCAAAGCTTCGTTTAAAAAAGATTCTTTAAATTCCTTTCCGTATATTTTTTAAACGATATATACAATAATTTTGGCCATGTGTTATGCATTTGTCAATTTTCTAATGTTTCTGATTTTTAAGCCGCAAAAAATTCTCGGTTGCGCCACTGTTATCCAGAATGTCTAAGAAACAAACTGTAGAAAGGTATTCGGCTCATCCGACGGTGTTGGCAGGAGAGCAGTAAATGCGGTTGCAGGAAGGCTTTTATCTTTATTCCAGATAATCTCATTTAGTGCCTTACTTCGGAGACGATATTAATACTAATATTCTGGCATCTTTCGGCACCAAAGCTACTTTTATAACGGCTTAATAACACTAAAACTAAATATCATCTGTACAAAGCCAGCAACCATGAAAATTATATTTTAGGTGAGTTTTTTTATGTGACCAGATTTTAAGGGAATATAAGTTTTTATATACATTTTTTATATATGAGAGATAAATTCATTGGTTAATTAATTGTTACTGCAAATAGCTGTGTAACTTTTATTAATAAACGTCTAGTAGTAAATGAAGCCAATGATAAGTCATTAAAAATAGAAAATCGGCTGATCATAGTATGTTTATTAATACATGAATTAGTCGTTTTTTGCAAAAAGAGATGTTGAAAATCGTTATTTTTTTAATGTTCTTGTGTATATTTTAGAAAAGTTTCTAGAATCCTGCCTGTCCACCACTAATTTTCCAACGGTAAGTATTAAGACTTACCCTGTATAAGAAACTACCCTTATTTTAACAAGGAATTATCTATAATATTATTGTACTACAGGGTCCAATAATAGTGCGTCGAGCATCTGTAGCTCCTAGGATAAAATTCTTAGGAATTTTGTTTAAATTAAAACCTAAAGCACAGATTAGGTATACTATAAGTATACAGATAAAAATCTTGTCCCTAATCCCTAATTCGTGGTACGAAAATTGTTTCTTATGACGATGAGCAAACAGGTAAAATTTCCTGTGCGCAAAAATAAAGTCGCGTTTAAACAGCATAATAACTGGGCCGGTCAGGCGCTGTGCACAATCTTAGAGGCTATAAGTGGGCGTGCTATGTGTGCAAACTAGTAACCTAACTAGTGCGCGACTGAGAAAATTGGAACCACAATACAATACTTTTGACATTTAAAAGTATGTGCTAGGACGTATTTCAGGAAAATATTTAACTTCTATAATATGGCTCAAAAAAAGTGTGTAATGAAATCAAAACACATTAGGTATTTACTTTAGATGGTCTGTACTTGCTACTATAACTATGGTAGTCGTAAATCATACAGGATGTTCAAATTCTACGCCAAACTTTTAAAATATAAATATTTTTTCTCCATTGTTCTAAAAGGAACACCCTATATATTATGTTTTCAATGGATGGGGAATTAAAAAATGAACATGTTTTGTATTTAAAGTATTTGGAAAATTTTAACGGTTACGCAGATATTCGCGGTTTTATATTTCATATGGCATTTTTCACAGTAAATTTGTATCAAAGCCACCCAATGATTTTTTTCTGATATTTTTACCGTTAAAAGAGAGATATATAAAATAATGCTGCGTGTATCCGTGAAACCACTAAAAATTTTGAAATATTTTAAACTCTACAAAAAATATATTTTTTTAATTCCCCATCTTATAAACTTGACCGTTTTTAAATAAAAATATTGTAATATTTGAGGGTGGTTTCACCCCTTTGGAACTGGAATTTCGATAAATCCTTTCTTATCGAACCTTTACACCCTAGAATCAACCGGTATGCCAAAATTGAGCTTCTTACGTTAGTGGTTTGAGTAGGGATCGTGATTAATCAGTGAGTCAGTCACTTAAAGGATTTTATATATTAATATAGATTGATACTGCAAGAATAGATAAGATATTATATAATTAGGGTATAAGATTTTATACTTTAAAGTTTTCGAATTTGTTTTTGAAACACCTTATATAAAAATTCAAATAAATAAAGAAAAGTTACAAAAAAATCTCTAACATTATTTTCTTTTTTGCAGCTTTTTCTTACACCAAGAATACCCAATTATTTTATTTTCCTTTTTCTATTTCTGTTATAGTTGGAGCACTGACCTAACAGCGAGAGTCACAACCACTTCGGCTCTGGTAGGGCAGCTTTTCATGTCCTTATCAATTTTCGGCTGTCAACAGAACTTCGTTCAGAGATATTGCAGCATGGAATCGCAAAAGAAAGTAACGAAGTGAGTATTGGATTGATATAAATTTCGATTAGTTCTTTGTAGGGATGGTAGAATATAATCGTATATCGATATTAATGTTTAATTTTACAAAATAAAATTAGTCTTGCAAAAATATAAAGACATATTTTCGAATGTAATACCACAAGATGTTTCGGGATTACCGAATAATACTTTTACCTGACACGAAATGTGTTACCCTTCGGAGTCGTAGTGTTGCCGGTATCGCATTGAGTGTCAGGCGAAAGTATTAGGTAATCCCGAAACATCTAGTTTATTCAAAAGATTACACAACGAAATAAAGTACATATATCCTTCTTATCTTAAACATGTCGACTTAGCCATTATGGCCTTTGAGGGGAACATTCGCTCATCCCAGATATTAGATATTAGATTAGATTAGAGGGATTGAGCTCGGTGGGAACCCTTTCTATGTTATAGGGTTCTTGAGGTTTAGATGGGTTACCTAAATACTTCCTAGTTGTTCGCGCGGTCGCCAGCGAGGTTGCTTTTTGCATACTTTTATATAAATTTTCGTTGAGCCCCAACTCACTAATATTCTTCTTTAGTTGTTTTGGGATAAGGCCCGTTGTTGATACAATTATCGGGATCGTTTTTATGGTCTCTATTTTCCACTGTTTTTTAATTTGTTCCTGGAGATCTCGGTATTTGGCAATCTTTTCACAATGCTTGCTACCCAAATTGTTGTTGTTAGGGATGGCAACGTCGAGGATGATTACATTTTTCTTAACCTTATCGATTAATAGGATGTCCGGTCTATTATGATTTACTGTATGATCTGTAAGGATGGTTCTATCCTAATACATTTTATAGTTTTTGTTTTCTAAAATTGTTTCTGGAACATATTTATAATACGGGAGTTTTTCCGCTTGCTGTAGTTGGTGTTTGATAGCTAGTCCCTGGTGTAATATTTTCGCTACAGAATCATGCCTCGCTTTATACTCGGTTGCAGAAAACATCTGACATGACAGCCTATGATACGTTGTATGGTTTCCGCTGTTTGGCATCCGTATCGGCATTTGTCATTTTCGATTGTCGTATCTTTCACAATATACTTTAGGTAGTTTCTGCTTGCGATTACCTGGTCCTGGATAGCCATTACGAAGCCCTCGGTTTCAGGTCAGCTGTCAGCTGTCCCGATACTAACCAATAGTTCGACGCCAAAGTATCGACATTATCTTGATCAGCATCATTGATGTGCCTCCCATGCAAGGGCTTCTCTTTCCATATCTGCATCTTTTCCTCGTTAGTTTGATGGTGCGTTTGAATTTCATGTGGTTCAACAGGGAGTTGAGTCGTCTGCTACGCATATTACTTTATGCATTTGTATATAAAGGCATTTATTTATTTATTTATTTTATGCAAAGTTGAAGTTAATGCTTCTTTGTGAAAGTAAGCTCGAAGATTCGTTATTTGTTGATCCAATTATTTGCATATATCTACTAATCCTCGTCCCCCTTGTGTTCGTGGCAAAATTACTCGTTCAACTGCGCTTTTAGGATGGTGTTTTTGTGCTTTTGTGAGTATAGTTCTGATCTTACGTTCAAGGTTTACTAAATCGGTTTTACTCCATTTTACTATTCCAAAAGAGTAACCAACCATGGAGCATGCATATGAGTTAATCGCCTTAAATAGGTTTTTACTATCGAGCTTAGTTTTTACCAGATGTTTAATTCTTTTGGTAAATTCTGCCGTAAGGTCGTCCTTCATTGTCCTCTATTCTATTTTACGGGCCTGCTTTATTCCAAGATACTTATAGGTGTCTCCATTCTTCATCGCCTTAATAGCTTCCCCATTATGAAGTTCGAATTCGTCATGTGCCAATTTACCTCTCACGATATTAAGAATACGACATTTGTTCATTCCAAATCAAACTCATTCCTATATCCTCAGAGAACTGTTCTACTATTTTCAGCATTTGCTCCAATTGGTTTTTAGTAGCTCCCATCAGCTTCAAATCATCCATGTAAAGTAAATGATTTAGTTTCAAATCTTCTCTAACTTGACTTTTTATACTAAATCCGTATTTGGTGGAGTTTATCTTATTTTTATCTTAAACATTTTATTATTATAATTATTATTAATAACAAAACTACAATTATTATAGTGAAAACTTGAACCATTTGATGAATTATTACCATAGGGTTGGAGGTGTTTGAATTTGTGCTTCAGCATTAGAAGTAGATGACGGTGTATTTTCGGCTCTCATTTGCGACAAAATCTTCATATGATGCTGCTCGCTGAGCTGGAGATAGGGAGTAACAAAATTTATAGAACTATGGTCCGTTATTTTGATGATTTCCTGGAGATTAGCGCCTGAACTGCTAAGAGAACTTACTGTTGAAGCTCTGTTAGAGTGATTAGTGATTTTTTTATTTTTATTATTTAGGCCGATGTTGATTGCTCCCATTTTTATCCAGTTTCTTATAATGTTAATACCTGCTGGATAATTCTTTAACCATGGGAAATTATCATTCTGTTTCCATTTCTGATTGACCGTCAAAAATAATCGATTAGTTTTAATGTTTGCGCCTCTTTTGGACATTAGCTGAAAATATAATCGTACTGGACATAAATCCGGATTTACAAGATTTTTTACAAGCTACTTACTTTCGCAGATTCGACTTGCTCCTCCTTGTGCCGTTTTAGTAAATATTGGATTGTATTCCAGACGACCGGTACTAGCCCCGTTATTATATTTTTCCTCCTTAAAATATTCCAATAGCAAAAAACCGCTTCATTTCCTCTCAATGCTAGTTCGGATGCAGCTATGTGGAAAAATTTCCGTTGAAGTTAAGGCCCATCTGGGGTATTTTCATCCAAACTTAAGGCCATTTTTTCTATTTCCTGTCTCGTCAAAGCTGTGGAACTCTCCTTTCGTGCACCAGGTACTGCCTGCAACTCTTTTCGTTTTGCGTTTCGGGCAAAACGGTCGCTTTGAAAATCATGCCATTGAATGGATCTATGCGGCGATTATATTTTTCAAAATATAGTTCCTGGATCATTTTGGCCGTTTTGTTCCATAAAAGCTTGACCACACCTTCTTTATCATCGCTTCCAGCGGATTTTCGCATATTATCGCAACTAGCAAATATAGTTCCCAGTCTTTTTTAAAATGTCACTGTCCCTAAAGTACAGTTCCTGGGCCCACTCTGCCACTTAAAATGTTACTCTATAAGGAATAGTCACTTTGAAGTATAATTCGAGAGTGACCGGTTAGTCCCTACCTACCATAAAACTGGAAAATAAACACCCCGATTGCAAGTCGCAAACATGAAATTTAGAGAAGTGGCTGGAACTACCCGAATCTTCAAATATGACACCATAAAAGACCAAAAACTTTATAGTAACTTTGCAAAGTAGGGGTTACCAACAAGTGCTACCATAATGCCTCCATTAAGTTTTTGTTACTTTATAGTAACAATTTAAGTTATGGAGTAGTCGCGGCCACGACACCTAGTTACTTCTAATTTATAGTAGCATTGAAAGTAGCAAAATGGTTACTGCTACCTTTCTAGGTTACTATAAAGTAGCCGTCGATCATCCATTGCCACTAAAAAGTCACGGGGGTCAAAAATGGCTACTTTATAATGACCGTAACTTAATATACCCTAATAAATGTAATTGCCTCAGATTGTATCGTGTGCTGCTCTGTTTTAGTGTTTTCTTTTACTTGCTTTTAAGCTTTATTAAAATTTTGTAAAATTCCTAAGGTGAATAAAAAAAATTAGATATTCTAGTACTTTCTACTGAAGAATTAAACAAAAGGAATCACTGCGAGCCGATGTATCAACATCAGAAACAAAAACTACATCTTTCAATAATCCTACTGATGAACATCATAAATCAGGTAGTGACTAAGACATTTTTGAAGCTGTTAGTTCATCTGAAACTGAATCTCAGAGGAGAACTAATTTGAGAATCAACAACAATATAAAACAAGAGCTAAAAGAGTGGGCGTTAAAATACTCTATACCTCATGTAGCTCTGAATAATATAGAAACACTAATAATAGAAAATGCACAATAAGTAAAAATAACTTCAAAGGACAAGACGGAACGCGTTATAGTAACACCAATGGAATGTATAGTCGCCACCACCGCGATCGGTGTAGCAACGCTTCAATTAAGTGGCAATTTGGTGGCGCAGGGAACTTTCTTGGAAAAATCACTTAATGGTTCCAAAGAATCGTTGACCATGTAGTTCCAAAAAGTTATTGTTTCTATAAAGTCGGCTTTGGATAGCTACAATTATCACTTTATCAATCCGAAGATTTTAAAGGTCAAACGGGTAAGTTGGCCTAATATGTTATTTTTCCCGGTACTTTGTTGAAGCATATGGAACTATAAAGTGTTTTTCGGATTAAACGGCCATATTTTTTCATGAATTTTAGACTGAACAGCCAAATGGCTCAAACGTTATGCGATTTTAAGCTAAATATAATCTGATTAAAGCTTTTTTCATAGTTATTTTGTTATTTCTGACGGGTGGACTAATATTTTAAGATTTGACCCCAGGTTTCAAACAAGTATTATCATTTTTTAATTACAAACAAACATGAGTTTCTGGCCAAATAATATAATAATTTGAAATATTTTGAGAGGCGCTCGAAAATTTTGTTATATAAACCCACTATTTTATTCAGTAAAGTTGATTGCGTTCTGGAATTTACCTAAAAAAGGCGTTAAAATCGCACGGTAAATAACTAATAACGAAAAAATGATAATGGCTTCCATAATTATTTTCCATCATGACATTTATTTTTATGAAATGTGAAATTGCATGAAGAGATCGCTGCGAATAAAGTTCAACAGTTTAACGAAAGTTCCACATGTCGATGGCTAACACTTGGCTGCCACGAACCCGCGACTAGGCAGCTTCGTAACGGATAAGTCGCATTTACCAGTAGGCTACTTTATAGTAGCACATCATAGTAACTCTTTTAGTGGCAAAAACTACCCAAGACACTACCCGGCTACTCAAAATCTTTCCCCATTTTGATCGCAGTTACTTAGCAGCTACGAATATACGACGTAGCCGCCGATGGTCACCGCCCACTTTGTAGCGGCTTTGATAGTAACTAGCAGTTACGTGTATGCCTCATGCTAAGGATATGCCCAGTCTTTTAAAATGTTGCACAAATCCTCGTCTGTTGTAGCAATACGTAGCTTGT